TGTATGTTCCACACTGGTTAGTCGTCATACCTGTATAAATTATCTGCATCGTTTTTATGTCTATATTCTGATTTACCTCATTTTGTATATTGTTTTGTGTGTTGCCTGTTTTTCTGTCTGTACGGCACTTTGGTTGGTCTTGTCGCTGTTTTAAGTGCTTTATAAATAAAATGTTATGGTATGGTATCCCTCGAGAATGTTTATGGATCTCACCGGAGGACATTGGTTGATTATTACATCCTTAACAGAACTCTTACAGTGACCTCGAGAGCATCTATGAACATTGCTGACCGCTCTCATCTCCCCTTTCTGCAGAATGTCTGTGTCACTATGTGCTTGTTTGTGTGAGGTGTTTTTTTTTATTATTAGAGGTTTTTTTCCTCAGGCAGGAAAAAAAAAGCCTGAAAGGAATTTTTTTCACCTCCAACTCTTACATGTGTCCAGTTAACCACTGTTTTTGTCTGTCCAAACAGGTCTCACTTGTAAATGAGTCTTTGAGGCTCAATGTGATTTATCTGTTTAAATAAAGGTTGAATGAAAAAAAGTATCTTGGGGTCTTGTTCACGAATGAGGGAAAAATGGAGTGAGAGATCAATAGGCAGATAGGTGCGGCGTCTGCAGTGAAGCGGGTGCTATACTAGTCTGTCGTGGTGAGCTGAGTCAAAAGGTGAAGCTCTCAATTTATCGATCAATCTACGTTCCTACTCTCATCTATGGTCATGAGCTTTGGGTTGTGACCGAAAGAACGAGATCACGGATACAGGCAGCCGAAATGAGTTTTCTCCACAGGGTGACTGGGCTCTCCCTTAGAGATAGGGTGAGAAGCTTGGTCATCCAGGAGGAACTCAGAGTAGAGCCGTTGCTTCTCCACGTCGAGAGGAGCCAGTTGAGGTGGCTCGGGCATCTGGTTAGGCTGCCTCCTGGACGCCTCCCTGGTGAGGTGTTCCAGACACGTCCCACCAGTAGGAGACCCAGAGGAAGACCCAGGACATGCTGGAGGGACTATGTTTCTTGTCTGGCCTGGGAAAGACTCGGGATTTCCCCAGAGGAGCTGGCCCAAGTGGCTGGGGAGAGGGAAGTCTGGGCCTTCCTACTTAAGCTGCTACCCCTGCGACCCGACCACAGATTAGTGGAAGAAAATGGATGGATATACAGGTCCTTCTCAAAAAATTAGCATATTGTGATAAAGGTCATTATTTTCCATAATGTAATGATAAAAATGAAACTTTCATATATTTCTGATTCATTGCACACCAACTGAAATATTTCAGGTCTTTAATTGTTTTAATACTGATGATTATGGCATACAGCTCATGAAAACCCAAAATGCCTGTCCCAAAAAATTAGCATATCATG